TTCATTTCGAGCATATAACCTGCCTAACTTTTTCACGAAGTAAACGTTTTGGCAAATTGATAGTATTTGTCGCCATGTTGAGGTTAAAATGGATAACGAAATCTGTAATTTCTTAATTTTTTCCTGTTTTTGGTACAAAATACACCAGAGCCAGATGCATTAGTATGTGTGTTTTAATCGTGGAAAAGGAAATTTTATTCTACGCGATTAATACGAAGTATTTTGTATCCAACAAAAATGGTATTTTTATCGATAAAACAGACGGCTTTAGCATCCTCTTAATATATGTATTAATAAAGTGTCAAATTATAAGTGGATTGTATTTATACTTTTTCTGCAATCCAAGCTCAAAAAATCTTTATTTTTCAAGCTGATCAAAGTGTCCTATCCCCTAAGTTTGTCGCAATTGTCTAAAAATATCCTGCATATGTCCAAAGTATCCTATTTTAACTTTGTCATCAAAATAGCTAAAAAAAAATCAATTTCATTAATAATTTTTAAAAAATCCATCACGAGAAAATAACTAGATACTTTTAGGGTTTTGAGAGGACAATAGATTAATTTATTTAATTAAATTTAGGTTAAATTATTATGTAGATTTTCGGTCTTGAGTTTGCAAATTCAGTCAGACCCGGTTTGATTTTCATTTTAAGGCCATCTTAAAGTTTTATCGACGGAATGTGATTATTTCCCATGACAAATAAACATAATTAAAGGTAACAGATATAAAAATCCTTCTCCAAGATTAAAGTAGGCATCAATGTAGTTCCGACTGGTAGAGGTTATGCTGAGAACGCAAAAAATTTATGAAATTTAGATCTCCGTTACCTTTTCTTAGTCCAACATGGCATCTAGAGTCATGGCTGTCACATGTGCCAATATTTGCTTCGTACAAAAATTTAGCAGTTTGTTGGTACAAAATAATACCAGTCGGAACTACAAATTACATGTGCAAACAATGTTGCGTTCATAAAATTAGGCTTGGATGCCTAATAAAAAAGATGTATGTTCTTGAAAATTTATTACGGTGGTGCGTGAGATACTGATATGGTAGTAAACATGAACACATCACTACACACTACACATCAATATCGCACGCATACATACTCACAAATCGGTAAAGCAGCAACATTCTTGGAGTTTGATTCCAATTTAGGATCGCCTTAATGGCAAAAAAAGGTGTTACAAAAAGGCCGATTTTTGGCTCGCTCGGTGGAAAGTAAAATTGACATTGTTTCTTATAGTTTTTGAGACGAGAAATCCAATGGTGCTAGTTAAAATTACATCACCTGTCGGAAACACATCGAAAATTGAGTTCAAAGTTGGAAAAATGCGTGGCGTCGCAGTCATTTGCGAGACAAGTCGCTACGCTGCATGTGTCGATGATATGCAATGTGTACATTATGTTTTGTCATTACAAATGAAGAAATTGTTATTAAAAATGCTATATTTAATAGCGAAAATATCAGCAAAAGAAAGTCCCCTGCATGAACATGTTCGAGTCGCGACTCTCCCCACCCGGAGAATCGCCGTGCGTCTTCCGAGTGAACTACGCATTTTTCCGATATTGAACTCAATTTTCGATGTGTCCCTGATATGTGACATAATTTTAATTAACACTATTGGACTCCTCGTCTCAAAAACTATAAGACTCTATATCAATTTTACTTTCCGTGAGCGAGCCAAAAATTGGCCTTTTCGTAATAACTTTCTTTGAAATGAGACACCTTGTTTGTATATATAATGTATTCTACCAAAACTCATTTTGAAAAAAATAAAAAAGATTACGCCAAGTATATAAAAAAGTATTGTACGTTCCATTTGTCCTAAATCAAAAATATTATTTTAATAAATAAAAATTGTCCAAAAACAAACATGAGATCATACAAGTTGCATACAAGTATTTGATAAGACAGAAACAAAAATATTTTTTTAATAAATCGTTTAAAGGTCCATCTACAATGAGAGTAGTAAGTCGTAAACCGTAAGAAATTAACCAATCACAGTTGATTATTCTTCTTATATTCCACTGTGATTGGTCAATTTCTTACGGCTTACGACTTACTACTCTCATTGTAGATAGACCTTTAGGCTGCGTTCGCTTGGCGCTTACAGCGCTTATAAG